AGCCCCGAGGTCACCCGTGCCCCCTCAGGCCCGAGCCTTCAGCACAGCTGAAGATGCTGAGGAGGCCAAACAGAAGAAGACCAAGCCAGAACCAGCCTTCTCGAACATCGGGAGGAAAATCAGCGATCGGATCCTCCGAGTCCTTGATGAGGCGGGCAATGACTTGGGGCACATGCACCGGGCCGACGTGATCAGGCTCATGGACCAGCGGGGGCTGCTGTTGGTGAGGAGGAACGCCAGCACCGAGCCGCCCGAGTACCAGCTCATGACCGGCCAGCAGATCCATGAGGAGCGGCTGCGGCTCCGAGAGAGGAACAAGGCCCAGCCCAAGGCAGGTAGGTGCTGGCCACGTCTCCCTGGGGCCTTAGGGAAGAACAAACCAAATAAACCAGATTCACCAAAACCCTGTCGAGAGAAGCCTCCTGAGGCTGTGTACCGTTATGGGAGCAGATAGCCTCATCTTTCTTTCCCAGGGCAGCCCGTGGCTTTGAACTGCTGACTTCCTAGTTAGTCGTCCAGTGCCTAACCCCCAGTGCCAATGGGGAACTGAAGCACAGGGAAGGTGACTCGATGTTTCCATGACTGTGTCTGACGGTATTCACCTGTTGCCTCTTGCACTCTTCCAGCGTCTGTGTAGGACCCGCAGATCTAGATGTGGAACTCCTGGGTTGGGTTGCCTCCTGTTCCCCGGATGGTGACAGTTCCTTCTTCCACCTACACTCCCACATGGTGCCTTCCAATTGTGCCACAGCGCTGGGCGAGAAAGCACATCTCCATCGCTGCGATTTCCTTTTACCATTTGAGTTTCCTGTCCTGAGTTGCCTACTCGTGGTCTTTTCCATTTAGACGACAAACTTTCTTCCTGAGTTTTAGCACAACCTGCTCTGTATGCTGCAGAAAGCCTTCTGTGAGCTGGATGCTCTCACTTCCTTATTACCAAGTCCCACTGCTTCCACGTAGATTACGGCCCTTAGCGATCCAGTAGGACCGAGCAGAACTGCCCCCGTTGGCTGTTAGCTTTTCTAACGTTCTAATGATGATTTAGGTGAAGGTATTCGGAGCAGATCATCAGTCTCACCTTCAGCAATTGATACACACTTTGTTCCAACGTAGCCATTTCAGTCCTCTCAGTGCACCAGCACTCAGCCCACTTCCAGTGATTCCTGTGTCCCTCCCTCCTCCTTCCTGCAGCCTTGGCCCCTCGGTAAAGGCTGCCCTTTGGATCTTATTCTTAACACGGCTGAGTTCGGTTGTAGAGGGATGAAGGGCTAGAGTCTTGTGGGTTCTCTCCATCTCTAGGGAACCAGTAAGCCTGGTCTCTTTTATGATTTTGTGTTTTGTTTCACATTTTCCTCCCCCTCTATCCAAGACCTTCTCAGGTGATCCTTTTCAGAGCAGCTGGTCATAGGAGTATGCGGGCACCATCTAGTTCTTTAGGTTTCAGGGTTGTGGAGACTGATGTGTGTGGGGTCCAGTAGTCTATAATCTTTATGGAGCCTGTGGGGTTTGAACCACCGACCCCTTTGGTTAGCACCTGAACACATAACCATAGTGCCACTGGGACTCCTAGTAGTAGTGCCTTTAATTAGATTTAGGGGAATTATCAATCTCTTAATGAAATCCTTTCCCTACAATGAAGCCACAGACGTATTTGTTTAAAATAGTATTTTTCAAACTTAGGCCATTGGGGGGAGATTTTTGTATGGGCTAAGAGCTAGCATTTCCTGTGAAAATTCAGTTATCTCAACCCCTTTGAACGACCCTATCCTTGTTGCCACACTGTTTGCTGACAGCGTTTGCAGACAGCACAGCCAGGTGCCCAGCCAGGTGCTCCCCAGCATGTGAGGCTTTGATGACCTTCAGGAACTGAGTTTGTTTCAGATTTTTAAGTCTTGGCAGGTAGAACATACGACCTTGAAGTCTCTCTCCCTTGTTTAAAGTGTTGCTGGTCTGGGACCCAAACATTAGGTGAAGAGACAGTCAGCCCCCCGGTTGCCACCCCAGGTCTCATGAAGGGTATGTGTTGTGGAGTCCCGGTGGCACACTAGTAAAGCCCTCACTGCAAACTGAAAGGTCAGCGGTTCAAACCCACCACGTGAGAAAGATGGGCTGCCTGTGTCCATAAAGACGTGAAGATGACAGCCTTGGATGCCCTGTCTTGCAGGCCACTCGGCGTCAGAATCAATTCCGTGGACATGGGCTTAGCTGTCGAGTTTCATGTGTTTTGTAAAGAGCCCTGGTGGCGGGCCTGATGGCTAAGCGCTCAGTGGCCAGCCATAAGGTTGGCAGTTCAGACCCACCGGCTGCCCCTCTTCTGTCCTGTAAGGTCATTCTGCGTCAGAATTGACAGCAGTGGGTTTGGGTTTCTGTGGTGGGGTGCAGGGGTCACACCAGATGGGTGTGCATCACCCTAGCAGCACGTCTCACTGTTTCAACGCAGGACCGACTCTGACCAAGGAATTAACTTTTTCTTCAAATATTGGGCAACATGATTTGGACACAAAGAGTAAGCAGATTCAGCAGTGGATTGAGAAACAGTATCAAGTTCAAATCACTGTCAAGAAGGGGAAGCAAGCAGATGAGCCGACTGACAGATCGGTAAGCAGAACAGATGTAAGTTAACAGTTGGTCTGTCCATCTCTCTGTTCTCCACACACAGCTGGAGGGAAGCTGTGGATAAGTGCAGTCGTGCTTGGTACTGGTGCTGCCAAGGGTGATGTGAGCGTTCCCATTTGTCTCTCAGAGCCCCAGCTGCTGAGCTGCTGTTGTGGGATGTGGTTCCCGTTTGTCTCTCAGAGCCCCAGCGGCTGAGCTGCTGTTGTGGGATGTGGTTCCTGTTTTGTCTCTCAGAGCCCCAGCTCACTGCTGCCTCTGCTGTAGGGTGTAGGACGGTGTCCGGCAGTATTGCTGCTAACTCCTTTGTTGGACAAAGATACCATTAACTTTGAAGCAGTTGTTTCCCAACACATCCTCCATCAAGGCCTGGGTTTCTAAAGGCAGTGTCCCAACTCTGTCAGTCCTCACACCTGGCCCCCTCGACGTCTAACATCCTGACAAATGGAGAGGAGACTGAAGTCCAGGGTTTCGCTTCACATGGATCCACAACCAGGGCTCATGCAAGCAGCCGCCGAGAAATCCAGTGCTCTTGGCTGGGGTGCATGCGCCTTGCGAGACCTCCTCACAGCGTGGAAGAGCACGGAGGACCGAGCCGAGGTTGTTCCCAGCCTCACGTGAAGGCTGGGCAAGGAGCCAGGAGCCCGGGGCCTGTGAATGAAGGCTGTGAAGAGTCCTGACTGCAGCTCGACTGAGCAGGAGGAGCAGCACATCTGTCTGAGGAGAACTCCAGCCAGATGCTCTTTAGAGGTGAGGCTGGCGGGGATTTGCCTGGTATGTTAGACGTGTCCAGAGACCAGTGCCCGAAAAAGGACACCGTGACTGGTAGAGGGTCGGCAAGAAAAAAACAAAAAGAGGAAGACCCCTCGACAGGATGAGACAACAGCTGCCGCAGCGTGGTCCAGTACAACCACGGGGAGGGTGGCTGAGGTCCGGGCAGTGTGCCGGTCAGCACCCGACAGCCCTCTCCCAACAACTCTGAGCCCCTTGATTTATACCAGGGTGTCCACAAGGAACACAAATCATGTTTCTTTGAAATGATGTTTGGGGAACAAAGTGTGAAAGGGGAGAACAAGGCCACAGGGTGGGTGACGTAAGGTTTCCCAATGAGATTCTTCCAGGACAGCCCTTTCGACCCCGAAGAATGAGCACCGTTGCCAGGATGTAAAGAAATTCCTTGGTGCAACTTTCCCAACCCGCTTCCCACCAGTGCCATTTTCCGATTTCTTAAAACATTGCCCTCATAAGCCCCTGTGCTTGCCCTGTGACCTTCAAGAAAACCTACCAAGATGAACGAACCCTTTGGATCAAAACAAAACAGCTGCCAGAACCTCCCGAGCTGAGCCCCCTCTCCAGGTTCTGAAGGCACCCTAACGAGACTAAGGCAAGTGTGTTCCTGAGGGAACTTGCCTGCGGCCACCCACTGACCGCCACGCGTTTGGATGTGCTGTGCTGGGAATAACCCCTGTGCCTGAACTGGACCCACCCTTGTCTATTTTTCCTTCCAGAACCACAGTTTTCAAAATTTAAAGCCTAAGTACTATTCTGTCTCAGAAATTGTAACACATGCAGCACCTGGGGAGGGAAAGGAGAAGCGTGTGTCCTTGTCATGCCTGCCCAACGGCACCTTCGAGAAATGCCATCAGGTACAATGCAGGGCACGTTGCGGAGCGTCCATTTCACTGTCAGGTTTTCACGCCCTGGGCCACGTTAGCGCTACAAAGTCCCACCCCAGCCATCTGTATTTTGTAAAGCGCCCCCAAGTGACCAGTGGCATCAGGAGGGACCAGTCTTCGGAAAAGGAAATCAAGCTTGGCAGAGGGTCAGAGAGAATGGGGAAGACGCCTGACGGGATGGCTTCGATAGTGGGCTCAGACAACCACCAGGAGATGGCACAGGGCTGGGCCGTGGCTCCTGTTGCACACACATGGGTGAGACTTGGCGCAGAACGGGCAACACCTAGCAGCAAGTGACCCTCACCCAAGGAGGCTGAGAACTGCTGCGCTATGCCGACTCCAGTCTTTGTGAAAGGAGAACACTCGGCCCTGGAGCCCCGCTGCCTTCTCTCTGGTTTGTAACGAGGAGCGTCTGGGGCAAAGCCTAGCCCCTCAGCTGGACAGAGAGGGAGGGAGGGTCTGAGACCATCAGGCTTCAGCGCATTCTCAGTTTGTGTAACTGCTTGGTTAGTATGTAAATTTTAATCAACCGGGCTTAGTGTGAACTGGTGGGTCTATCGCTTTCACGGCAATTCCAGGGTGCCGTTAAGAATGTTTTCGTGTTGCTGTGAGTGAGTGAGTAATGATGTGGACATCTGCCCTTTTCAGGAGGCCATCTTTAACCACATTCTCCAGACCATGCCCGGGGAGGCCACCTTCTCCTCCAAGCCCCAGGCTGTGCGAGGAGGCAAGGCCACCATGTGTGTGCTTCGCCCCCTGACCCCAAAGGAGAAGGCGGCGCATCAGGAGAGCCAGGGGGCCCGGTGAGGAGCATCCTGAACAAAGAACAGGGCGAGGACAGCCAGCCAGGTGTTCTGCACCAGTGACTTTAATAAAGACAGATGTGCTTCTGAGAAATCCCTGGTCTGCCCTCTGCTCAGGCCAGGAGAACTTTAACCAAGGGCCAGGACCGCCACCGTCGAGAGCACTTGTCCTTCCACCTGGCTCCGCAGCCCCGACTCCTCACTGCTGGACATGGACGAGCCCCCCTCCTGTTTCTTTCTGGGAGGGATGTAGCCGCTGAGGCGAGAGGCCAAGCTCCGTTTCCTAGAGGGTCTTACCTGTGGGAGCAAGGGAACCGCAGACGGCTCACAGTTAGGGTCCTCTGAACCGGAGTGATAGCACGTGCATGCCCTGATGCCCTGACAGCAGAACTATGCAACCAGAAAGCACAGTCCACCAGCCCGTCTGAGGTATACATTGTGAGCGTGGGGCCTGGACATGCACAGACCCCCATCTGGCTGGCTGTTTGGGGGCTGCCAGGGGGAGGGAGGACGAGAAGAATAAATGGTTTGCCAAGCGGCTTCCACTTACTTTAACCTTCATTTTCTTCCTGTCGGGATCGTGGACAACCGCGTGCCTGCTGAGGCTTTGCTGCATCGAGGGGGAAAGAAAGACACTATGTGTGGTGCACGATCATGCAAACAGGACGTCACGAGGTCCTTAAACAGTGGCCAGTGAGCCCTTACTTAAACAACCTCATCCCAACTCAGCAGAAATCCCTGTCCCTGTAGACTCCCGAAGACCCAGACTAGGAACGTCGATCATCCGGGTGGCTGGTTTCTAAGTATCAGGAAGCACCAGCTCTGAGCACACCACTCTAAGCTCAAGAAGACTGAGCCAGACCGCCCTAAACCTTCTCAGCCCCCAGGGCAGTCCGAGCAGGAGCTCGCTGTCTTGACAGGAGTGCCGGCCCGTCAGCTCTCCCTGGATGCCCAGATGGCTGGGCTCGTACTAAGCCAGCCTGACCACCCCCGCCAAGTCTTCCACACTCAGCAAGGAGACCCACCAAAGAGTGAAATCACACCCACACCTCCAAGCTGAGGGCCACACGAGATCCCCTCTCACTGGCACCTCCCCCGCCCGATCCTGGGGGTGGAGACACTCACAGGAAACCCAAGTAGCGGGTCCTGCTCTGCACAGCACCACCGTCACCAACCAGTGCGTCACCAGGGCGGCTTGTTAACACTGGCTGGGCCCAACCCACAGTTCACCCCATCACTGACCCAGGGCCACGCTGTGATTCAGTCAGTTGGGCTGGATCAGCAGACTGATGAGGCAGGGTCTTTATTCCCGTAAAGCGCAGGGCTGTGGGAAACCGTGGGGGGCAGTTTGGCGGTGGAGTTGGAATCAACTGCATGGCAGTGGCATTGGGGCTGCCATCTTGGAATCCAGGCCCCCAGTTTAGACCAAAGCCCACCCACCCCCTGCCGAGGTGGCGGGCGGGGCACCCACCTTCATGGCAAACGTTCTGCCACAGCCGGCGTGTTGGCACAGAAACGGGCGCTGCTCCTCATGGAAGGAGAGGATGTGGCTCTGGAGGTTGAACACGGTGGTGTAAGTGCGCCCACAGCCTTCCCGCGGGCACCGGCACACGAGTGTTTCCGGGGCGTGAGTCTTCGTGTGCTGCTTGAGGTGGTCTTTGCGTTTGAATGTCTTCTGGCATATCTCACACCTGATTTCCTCTGGCGGCAAACACAACACACACACACACACTGAGCCCAGTGCACAACCCTGCCTACCCAAAACAGACCACCGAGCATGGGGCAGACAGTGCAGGCACTTCAGAGAAGCCCCCCCAGGCACATGCACTCCACTGGCCCCATCTCCCTCTGCTCGCTTGACAAGGGCAGTTTCCCGGCTGTTCTGCATGACACTCACCTCCCATTTCCTCCCAGGAGACCTGCACCTCCTCCCTACCCTGCCCCCGTCCAGTGGCTGACCCCTCTCTCAGATGAGCCAGCACCCTTGCTTGGGGCCGGAGGCTCAGTACCCAGCACCTGACGGAACACGTACTTGAAAGTAAGCACAGGCAGATACATGCTTTCCAACAAGCCCACTTCAGTGACACGAATTACAATCTTCAGGTGGTTAGGGCACTGGGGGTGGTGGTGGCAGGGAGGCTGACCAACCTTCTAGTTCCCTTTTCTCACAAAAGCTTTGATGCTCCCCCAGGCTTAGCAAGGTCCCCTCCACTAAACTGTTCTGTGGGGCAGGCGCGGGCCCACGCTGTGCTGGCCGTCTTACCTGGATGGCTTTCGCGCACGTGTTTCAGGAGCTCCGTCCATGTCTTTGCCACAAAGGAACATCCCTTTTGACATAGGTAGCCTATTATAGAAACAGCAACAACAGAAACCTAAGAGATTTTTACAAAACAGATCAGTGTAGCGTCCACTGTGGACACTCGGGGTGAGTGCTAATGAGAAAGGAAACGGGTGGCGATGTCACTGTGTCTCTGAACTTTCCCCAAGCTCTCATCTGTTCGGTCAGCCTCCGGAGAATCCATAGGTAGCCTGCTGCTGAGGAGTCCATGCAGACTCACGGCAAGCTCGCAGGGCTATGAAGACTACACCCTTCAGGCAGAATCCCACGTCGTTCTCCCTCGCGGCTGCTGGTGGCTCTAAACAGTCAACTTTTTGGCTAGCAGTTGAGTGCCTAACCCTGCGCCACCAGAGACCCCTTTTCAGCCTCAAGAGTGGGACTGAAGCAAATGTCTGTCCCATTAGAGCAACAATGAGCTGCTCAGCGCCCTCAGGACTACCCTCAGTGGGCCGCTGGGGGTGTGTCCCCTACTCAGGTCTCAGTGAGTTGGGTGCCCTATGGGTGGGCCTGTCCGCATCCCTGTCTGCTCTCCACCTATTTTCATGGGAAGATAGAATTCAAAGATAAATAGGATTTTCCCGGGACTTTTTTTGAAGCCCGCTCTTTTAAAATGAAACCAGGCAATTTTAAACATAGATCTCTACACCGCACGATGGCACAGGACTGGGAGAATGAAGAGTAGATACGACAGTCAGTGCCTCTTTAACACGAAGGACCAGTTCCCTGGAGAAAGACACCATGCTTGGCAAAGGGGAGGGTCAGTGAAAACAAGGAAGACCCTCCAGTAGATGGATGGACCCGGTGGAGGACGGCACAGGGCCGGGCAGTGTTCCTTCCTGCTGTATGTGGGCTTGGTTTGAGTTGGAACTTGGTGACCAATGACAACCAGGGCCTTGCCCTGGCTCTTCCCAGTTCAACCATAGCTGACACAGCAAGACCGGAATGGATCCAGTCCTATAAGGACAACTGGAATGGGAAACCCCCCCAGGTGGATTCCCTGCTAGACACTTTGATCACGCTGTAAGAAAACAAAGGCCATGTGCGCTTTGCGCGGCAACCCAATCTCTTGACCAACCAAGCTGGTTGGTCAAGGGATGGGATCCCGTGTGCTGCTCTCCGTGGTCCTGAAAATGATCTAACCTCCCACACCAGCTCTTGGAAGAGGGGGTCCCTACACCATCTGTGTGGCTCCCATTCCACAGCTTCGATTCAGCATTTCCCCACGCTGGCTATCATTCTAGGGCAAATTCAGGGCTGTTCCGGTTTCCCTGCATCGGCTGAACTGGTTCAAATCAATTCAAAGCCTAGCTAAAAACAACTTAGCCTGGACTCCAAGCTCTGAGAGAAGAGCTCCTCTGGAGTTAATTTTACCTCCCCACCCCGCCCCACACCCCTGTCTCATTTGGAGTTTCTCAGTATGTCCGAGACACAGAATGGGAAGCAGTGCCATCCCAGGATTAAACTGGCATTCTCCAATTTACTCAGCGTGGGTGTCGGGGTGAGGGTGGGGGTCATCTGCACACACCCCCGTGGACCTTCTCATGTCTCTTCAGCCTGCTGGGTGATGCAAAGTGCTTCCCGCATCCTTCATGGTTACACCTGGGTGATGAGCACACAAGGGTTAGCCCAGCCGTTTCAGCACAAACTTCATTGGGGTGAACGTTGCTGTGCCGCCCCCTTATCCCAGCACCCACCCAAAGTCTCAACCCTACTGCCATCAAGCCGCTTCTGACCCAGCTGCCCCATATGGTTCTGAGAGCTGCATCCAATTCTTTACAGGCGTCAACAGCCTCATCTTTCTCCCGAGGAGCTGCTGGTGCGGGGTCCAAACTGCCAGCCCTTCAGTTAGCCCCTGCTTAACCTTCAGCGCCACCAGGGACCCCTCCCAACCACAGCAGTCATGTGGAAGTAAGACTGAAAGTCTAGACCTCGTCAGAGGCAGCGGTCGGGCTGGCCCGCTTCTGGACAAAGCTGTTTGAGGAGAAATTCCCATCACATCGCCCACTCCTCAGTCTACCGGCTGGCTGGCTACCCCACATTTCAGATTCTGGTGCATCCATGGCATGTGCCCGGCCAGCATGATGCTGACTCAGGTGGTCCTAGTTATGCGTCACCCAGGCCAGATGAGGGCTCAGTGTCTTGTAACAACGCACTGTGACAGTAAGGCAACGATGTGCACTGGCAGGTGCACAGGATGAAACCTGGCACAGTGTCATGACGCACATTGGCAGGGCTGGAAGGATAATGGTGTGGCTTGGTGATTACAAGTGGGGTGTGGGGTATGATTACAAGTGATGATGTGGGGCAGGCGTGCCATGATGTGACCGTCCTCCATTTTTGCATAGCACGATTTGTCACGTAAAGCCCTGTCTGTGAGCCCTAGCCATGTTGATAAGGGGGGCAGGTATACTTTGTCTTTGGCCCCCTCTCTGGCTTATGAGGCTGTGTGCTCTCACAGAGATTTCCAATCTCTGAAGCCCACAGGGCAGCTCTGCTCTGTCCTACAGGGTCACTGTGAGTCGGAATCATCTTTGTGACTGAGGACATATATTGTTCCATGGCCACTGGGCCCAGCAGGAGCAGGGGTGGCCGTTCTGAGTCGCCTATATCTAATTTTCTAACAGTGTGACTGGGATGGACCCTAGCCATGCATTGATGTACAGGGCACTTCTGGGCTCCAGCCAGCTCCAGCACAGGAGGGAGGGGCAGCTGGCAAGCAGGGGCAGGCACTCACAAGCGGCTCCAACCCACAGACACCCCTGGGGACCCAGGAGGAGTGCTCCGGCAGCCACTCTGCACACAGGCCACCATCAGCAGGGCTCCTCAGACAGCCCGGCACGGGGACCCGGCCGAGACGAGTCGGTTGCTCCTGCAGGTCAACCACGATGTCTGTCACTCTCTCGCTCCCACCGAAGCTCCCTCCAGATGCAGCTGGAGGGCAGCCACAGAAGAGCAGTGTCTTCGTGGTAACGCTCCGTACAACCTTCCCCGCCCGCCCGCCGAGTCTCTGCTCTACGGAACTCAGTTTTGAAGTGCATGGAAATACTTGTGGTAGTTAGGGATTAGGTCAACTTGGCATCCTGGCTAGGGGTGGAGCTAAACCTGCCAACCAGGTGGCAGCCTGAGGACAACGCCTTCATGTCATAAGGCTTGGTGTGTAAGAGCAAGATGAGCAGACACGCCCTTTCTCTCTGCCCCTCCACCTTTCTACAAGCTGGGTCCCTACTGGCCACCTGAACCTGAGAACTGCCGAGATCCCACTGACCTTGGATCCACCCAACTGCATCCACTGACCTGTGATCCTGCTGCTTCCTGGTTCACCTTCCTGCATCACTGGCCTGCAGCTATGTGAGTCTGAAGAGGGACTCATGGGCTAGCATAGACGTACAGACTTAAGTTGGGTTCAGATGTCTTCTTGATCTATAATTACTTCTTGATAGGAAGCTCGTTCTTACATGTCGATGAATGCCACTGGATTTGTTTCGCTACACAACGCGGCCTCACACACTTGTCTCACAGACACACAAGCAGAACCGAACATTTCAAAGACGCCCCGACACACAAACACGTGTGCTCGGTGCACAGAGCACACAGGTGCTGGCGCAGGCACTGCACACGCTCCGCACCCTCCAGCTTACGCAGCCCCAGGGCCTGCGGGAAAGGATTGCCAGGCCTGGGAAACACCTACCTGAACAGCGGTTCGCCGGTGTGCTGGCACTGATGGGCTTTCAGCTGCTGGTGCTTCTTAAAGGTCTTCTCACAGCCTTCAAATTCACACTGTGGTGTAAAGGGGTGTGAGTCTCGGGGGGAGCCAAGCATCAGGGGTCTGTGAGAGCAGGCGAGCGGGAGGGTCTGTGCCCACTGCACCGACCCAGATGGTGACCCTTAAAATGTTACTTTGGGTCAAGACGCCTCGTGAAGTCATGACATTTGAAGATGCAGGAACGTTTCAGGTGGCTCAGCTCCATCCATCAGCAAAGCCCCCTGCCACTGCCCCCCTGGGACCCCGTCAGCAGCGTCAGAGTAGAACTACACGCCTCAGAGTTCCCAGCGGCCGATTATTTGGCTGCAGACAGCCAGGCCTTTCTCCCAAAGCACATCTCAGGGCACATTGCACAGAGGTGCCACCCAGGGGCATGGACCCCCCACTAACACTTAGCATAGTGATGTCCCCTCTCAAAACAAAGCCACTTGTGGAGGGAAGGGCATCAGACTACAGGAATTCAGACAAGATGGGGTTAGTGGGTACTTCAGAAATATGAGGGGCCTCTGAAAAGCTCACAGGACGAGCCCATTGTCCTTTAAATCCCACTGTCCTGTGAGCTTTGGGCAGCCTCCTCACTGAGGTGAAAAGCTTCGGCGGGCAGGCACAGACTCACCGCGTACTGCCTCTGCTGGTTCTCATGTTTGCGCTCCACGTGCCTCTTCAAGTTCGACTTGGTGGTGAATTTCTGGTCGCAGCCCTGGGCCTCACAGCTGTACGGAAGTTTAACAACCAAGATCCAAGCTCCGGCTTTACCTGAGCTAGCAAACTGTCCCCAAGTCACTGTCCCCATGCCACAGGCGGTCCCGACTGAGCACTGCATCCAGCAAGAGCACGGCACGCGAAGGTGCTGTCACTTGGGGCTGCGAGCCTGCTCGGAGTGGGGCCAAGGTCAAACCTAAGGCTAAGGACACAGGACACTAGAACTGAAGCCGCGCCAGACAGCCATCACCACTCTGGTGGGCAGGTCCAGCCTCGGACAGTCACAGGGCAGCTCTTCGGCACGGATTCAAAGGCTTGAGGGGTTCTGCTCCTGTTCTGGTGGGTTAGGGCACACGTTTTTCGTGGCAGGAGGAGGGAGGGGAACCAAATCTTTCTTTTCCCCCCTGAAAATCGGGTGGTAGGCTAAATCAATTTGGGGACCTATGGATTAAGCCACAACATGTAAGCCTCTCAACTTTGACAAGACCATCATTTCAGGAGATGGATGTCCCAGGTGAACCCCAAACCTGGTGCCACCAGGTTGGCGGCAGCGTGTAAGCAGCCCTGGTGTCACACTGACTTAAGCACTCAGCTGCTGACCAAGAGGTTAGTGGCTGGAACCCACCAGAGGGCCCACAAGAGAAAGACCCAGTGATGTGCTTCCACGAGGATCACAGCCCTGGAAACTCCATGGTGGTGGTAGGGGGTGGGGTGGTGGTGGGGTTCTGTCAGGTCCCACGGGATCGCCAAGGGCTGGAATTGCCCTGTGAAAATACCAGACCCACTGCCACCGAGCAGATCCTGACTCCACCACGCAGAACCAACTCAACGCATCTGCTGGGCTCTGCCCTTTAGGGGCGCAATGGCCAGGCCTTTCTACCCGAGACGCCACCGGTGGGCTCAGACCTGTCTGATCTCACTGTTCTACCGCAGGCCACCACGCCCCTCCCGCCCCCTCCCAGGCAGTGGGCACCCTGGGCCGGGCTCGTCCAGCAATGAGCAGGGGCGGGTTCTCTGGTGCAGTCGCCACAGGCCCAAGGACGACTGCAGAGGGCAGCCTCTGCACCCCAGACTCTGCAGGCACCCCGCTGATCCACCCCAACTGCACTGGGAAACAACTGTGGTTACGCATCACCCGGCGGCTAGCCAGAAATCTGGCCGGTCAAGGCACCCTGGTGCGCCCGAGGGCAAAAGGCCTGTGATGTGCTCCGTGAAGACGGCGGCCCAGGAAGCCCAAGGAGGTGGCTCTGCGTGGTCACACGGGGTCGCCAGGAGTCAGTCGGGGCGACTGGACAGCACCACGCAGCGCCGACACGGCCCAGCCCGGGTGCAGGCTCGCCACAGCGGCAGTGACGGCGGAGACTGTCCCGTGTCAGACGCTAACTTGGGCTGCGTGGACCTGGACCGTAGCACGACAGGACTTACTGCAATCTACAAAGGCCCCGGCCCGGGTCCCTAGGGAACCTTGAACAAAATAGCGGTATTCAAGGCTGGCATCTGCAGGAATTGCTCGACAGCTGTCTCCTGAGGCTCAGAGCTGCACGCAGGAAACCCTCTGTGAAGTGTACACCCACCCCTCCAGGAAAAGTGACTGGAAATGGAAGGTGAGGCCAACTGCCTCCAGGAAGAACTAGCCACCCCCCACCCTCTGCCAGCAGGCTGGGAGAGCTGGAGGATGCCCGGTGACCGTCTTCACCAAAGAGTCTTTATGAGAATCGTTGGCCAAAATGGAGAAACATGGGGAACAGGATTTCGTATTCTCACGGAATCCAGACTTCCTGGAGCCACTGAGGCTGGGCGAACTCGAAACTATTACTACCCTGAGATCATCTTTAAACTCGGACCCAAAATAAGTCTCCTTCAAACCATTCGGGGACTGAAAACGCCAAACCCACTGTCCTGGAGTCGGCCCCAGAAGGACTGCCTGTGGGGGGGGGTTTCCCAGGCTGTCAATCTACCTGGGAACAGACAGCCTCATCTCATCTTCCTCCCTCAGAGCAGCGGGGGTGGGGGTGGGTGGGGCCAATCGAGCTGCTGATCTTGCCCTTGGCAGCCCAGCGTGTAACCCACCGTAGCACCAGGGCTCCCCCCTGCGCCCCTATCCCCAGCCCCACCCTGGGGGGCACTCACAGGAACGGCCTCTCTCTGGTGTGCGTCAGGCTGTGGCGGCTCAGGTGGCACTCCCTGATGAAGGCTTTTCCACAGCCCACGTACTCACAGGCAAACGGCCTCTGCGGGGAGAAGGGGAACATCTTGGGGACCTGGCCTCACAGCCAGCACCCCCACTCTCCCCCCGTCTTCAAAGGCTGCAAGGACCCCTAGTGGTGTCGTGGTTAAGTACTGTGAGTCTGGGTAGACTAGAGAAAACAAATCCAGAGACACTCACATGAGTGTAACAGAGAGTCTGATATCAAAGAGTCACTGCATATTGAGAAAACATCCGTGCCCAGTTCAGATCAAGTCCATCAGTCCAATGTTGGCCCCTATGTCCCATACCAGCCCGTAAATTTCTCTTCAGACTCCCGCGACACATGCAATGACGCCGGATGCATGAAGATCACAGGCCCCAGGCCCGTGGGTGGAAAGTCTTGTGGATCTGGAGGTGGTGGAAGCATCTCCAGGGCTCTGGCTGCCATCAGCGTGGCTCCATGTGGCTTGTCATCAGGAAGGTGAAGCAGTTTCCAGAATCCTCACGAGAAGGCCACGCCCACAAGGAGGGATCAGGCTGTGATGATTGACCCGCTAGACTCCACCCCTTCATTCTTATTTATCAAGTTGACATGAAATTGTGTAACTGCCACAGCACCTGCCCGCTAATGAACAGGTCACTGGTTCCAGCCCAGCAGCTGCCCTGTGGGAGAAAGACCTGATGGTCTGTTCCCATACAAATTCCAGCTATGGAAACCCCAAGGGGCAGTGCTACTCTGCCCACCAGAGGGTGTTTCCTTGTGCTTTATTGACATAGCCCACACAGCCTGCTGTGTGGATCACAGGAACGATGGATAGCCTTGAGAGGGGCGGAGACTCCGGAACACTTCCTGTGCTCATGCAGAACCTCCACATGGACCCAGAGACAGTCCTCCAGACCCCTCAGATGAGGGTCCTCTGGTCCTCTCCCAACCCCAAACAGGAACTAGCTCCTGCAGTCACTTTTAGCTAGTTGGGCTCACAAAATAAGGGCATCGCACCTGTAAAAATATCACCTATGAGACCAAATGGTCCACCATGATTAGAAGAGAGGTGAGAAGGCTGGGGCAGGGAGACTACATGGGAGGAAAGGGCAGCACCAGCACACAGAGTTCACGAGGCACCGAGAAGCGGGTAACCAAGGACCTGTGTAGACACTGCTGAGCGGGAATCTAAGAGGCTCATGAACCCTCACCCCAAAGACAAACTATCGTCTGGAAAAACCGGGGTCACATCTGACAGCACACAGGTCCCCGGCCATGGACAGAAGACCCCAACCACTGGGACCCACCTTTTCAACCTACACCCAGGGCTGTCGAGGTGGTTCTGACTCCTAATGACTCCAGAGAGCACAGCTTCCCAAACTCATCTGGCCTACTGCCTCCTTTTCAGGGAGGAAAAAGACTCTGTGCACTCCTGGAAATGAATAGCACTCGTACCCCAGACCCTGATCTGAGATACAGTATAGGTATCTGCTTTTGCAGCCCCCTCGAGCCATCCCAGCGCCCTCTGGAGGGCAGCATCTTCCCCTTTAGGAAACAGCTATAGAGCAGGGGTGGGGGATGTCCTGCCCGGGGGGGCCATCCAAGGTCTACGAGGTCATCAACTCCAGCTCCCATCACACGCCTCACCAGACAGAAGCAGTTCCGGCCATCACATTAGGGGAGAGTTAGTTAAATGTTTGGCCAGTATGGTCTGCTATTGCTGTTATGAATATCCCAATGGCCAAGGAAGAAAAAAAGGGTCCCCACCCATGGCATGGAGGAGGTGGAACGGCTCCTTAGGGTTTCTGAGGCTGTGGATTTTTACAAAAACACCCTTCTCTTTCTCCTGCAGAGTGGCTGGGGGTTCAAACCGCCGACTTTTGGGTTAGCAGCCTGACTCTTCACTCCCCACACCACCAGGGTTCCTTTCTGAACCTGTATTCTTTTTTTTTTTCCCCAATCATTTTCTTGGGGGCTCGTATAACTCTTCTCACACTCCACACATCCATCCATGTGTCAAGGGCATTTGTACATTTGTTGTTGTCATCATTTTCAAAACATTTTCTTTCTACTTGAGCCCTTGGTATCAGCTTCTCATTTTCCCCCTCCTTCCCTTCCTCCCTCATGAACCCTTGATAATTTATATACTATTATTTTTTCATGTCTTATACAGACCAATGTCTCCCTTCACCCACTTTTCTATTGTCTGTCCCCCCGGGGAGGGGGTTATATGTAGATCATTGTGATCAGTTCCCCCTTTCTCCCTCCACCTTCCCGCCTTCCCCTCCTGGTATCACTACTCTCATTATTGGTCCTGAGTGGTTTATCTGTCCTGGATTCCCTGTGTTGCAAGCTCTTATCTGTACCTGTCCATATACATGCTCTGGTCTAACTGGATTTGTACGGTAGACTTGGGGTCATGATGGTCATGATAGTGGGGGGAGGATGCATTAAAGAACTAGGGGGAAGATGTATGTTTCATTGATGCTTTACTGCACCCTGACTGGCTTGTCTCCTCCCTGAGACCCTTCTGTAAGGGGATGTCCAGTTGCCTACTTTGGGCTCTGGGTCTCCACTCTGCACTGCCCCTCATTCACAATGATGTGGTTTTTTGTCTGAACCTCTGTTCAAACAAACCGTCACCCTGCCCTGGAGTTGGTTCCAGCGCGAAGCAACCCTGTCACACAGAGCAGAGCTGCCCGGCTGGGCCTCCCAAGGCGGGCAATCTTTATGGGAGTTGTTGTCCTCAGTGTCGTCTGGTCAGTTCCAACTGACCTCCACCACCCCATCCTGCACCCCCCTCACCGTCCTTCAGTGTGAGCCCGTGGTCGCAGCCACTGTGTCCATCCATCTATTCGAGGGCCTTCCTCTTTGCCGCCGATTCTCTACTTCACCAAGCATGATGTCTGTCCTGCTGCAGGGCCTGGTCTCTCCTGATAACATGCCCAACAGAAGTCTCATCATCCTTGCCTGCAAGGAGCATGCGAGTTGTACTTCTTCTGAGACAGTGTTCTTTCAGGAGGCCACGGTCCTGTCAGTACACTTTGCCAGCACTGTTATTCAAACCGTTGATTCTTCTTTGGCCTTCCTTATTCAGTGTCCAACTCTCACATGCTTATGAGGCAGGATAGGAGCAGACAGCCTCGTTTTTTTCTTCCAAGGAGCGACTGGTGGGTTCGAACCACCGACCTTGTGATTAGTAGCTCTGTGCGTATGTAGGCCACCAGGGCTCCTTTCTGAGCTTATCCTCAAAAATCAAACTCATTACCAGCCAATCCATTCGGACTCATTCGAACTGCTGACCTTGCACTTAGCATAACCCACTAGACCAAACCCCAAGACACCCCTTTGCTCCTTCCTCTGAGCTATAGGGAAAGCCAAAACACTCCGCCAGCTAGTTCTGCTTCCCGGATGGATGGCACTCCACGTGCCTGGTGGGGGTGGCACTCCCACCTACACATCCCGAAAGAAGACAGGAGACCGGGGGAGGGATAAAAGATAGGGAGCCCACTGTTTATTAAATCCCAAACCCATCTCAGGGTGTGGTGGGTGGTCCTAGAACTCGGCATCCCCCAGGCCATAGGCCATGCACTCAGTCCTGCTTCCCTGGTTCAGAGGCCACAACTGAGCGGCCTAGGAAAAGAAACCCTTGGTGGCTGCTACCAACAGGCTGGAGGTTCAAGTCCACCCAGAGTGTCAAGGAAGTACGGTCTGGTGACCTGAACACGGACCTGCCCTTGGAAACCCTAGGCGGCAGCTCTGCCGAGCACACGAGGTGGCTACTCCCAGCAGCACCCTCCTCACCGCCGGCCCCGGGGGTGCCC